GATTTCGCCTGACCGATACACAAGGAAAATGGAAAAGAAGTGTATATCGTTTTAGCTATAGATCGAGTCTAAAAATTGCCTTTGGTTAAATTCTTTAACCATGCTTATGCCTGAAACGCTCGACAATTCCGACGACAATATCAAGAGTTATATGGAACTCCGCGCCCTATTCGAGTTAACTAAGCCTGCTGTATAACAAGGGTAACGATAGCCGAACACATCGAACACAACTAAATTGACCACACGGTAGCCCAGCAATCAATCACCGCACTTAAGAATTGGTGGAACGATTGATAAAAACAGTGAAGCGTTGTTTCGGATGCATGAAGAAAGACAAAAAATCCTTCAAACTAAATCACTCACTGTACGAACTGTTAGTCTCCATTAGAACAAAAACTACAGAGAACAATTAGGCTGACGCCACTCGAGGCGAATTTCAAACGCAAACCAGATTTGCCGTAACATAAGTACCAAACCCAGTTGGCTTAACTTAAATTGGGAAAAAGTTGTTCAATCCTGTTTGGGGAAGGAAACCTTGGGAGCGCCGCTGATAGCAGAGGAGCAAAGAAGGCACACTGACACACATATTGATATTGAAGAATAAAAGGAATGGCGGAATGAGAAAACGAGTAAACGGATGGAAAAATTGCTGTTTGTTGTGGTAACAAGGAACATAGACGAACCATCCAACACACACGAGGATAGAGACGTTCCAGGGACGAAGAAGAAGGACCTAGAAGGGGATTGGTCAGAGTTGCCAACAGTCACAATAACTCTACGAGCCACGAATTCGACGACTACGGTGAAAAATCCTGGAAACCACCAAGTGGTCATTCGCAATTGGGAATTATGGCTTCAACCAAAGAGCGGCTCTCTCTGTGGAACATTAGGCAATTAAAAAAGCACCGCCATGCAGTAAAGCTCAGCTATTGATACAATTCAGCCCGGCAACCCAGAACAAGGCGGGAACCGTCGTGAAGCGGCAACAAGAGCATATTCTAGGGAAAATAACAGGTTGCACAAAAAAATCCGTCATAGAAAGGAGGAGGGCGAAATGCAAACATGCCAAATTGCGACAGCAGCCCCATCAAGATCGAAGAGAAAAGAATCAAAAACAACAAAGATCAGACGCCCACATCCAAAAAAAATCTCCATATCACGCCCTCCGAACACAGGGTATAAAACAAGCGAGACAGCGTCGAGACTGGCATCGCGGGTAGGTTAAAATTTAGCGAAGCTAAGTGAAGAGTTCTTCGATACAAAAACCCGGACTTTTTTATTTGCGGGAAACATTTAAACTACTTTCACGATCAATATGATCGCATTAGGCTCAATAAAAAATCAAGATAAAACACCAATGGTATTGACCACAGGGATGGAGCAGCAGGGCATCCGAAAACCAACTTGACAGGAACAAGCGGAACGGAGACACACTGAAGAAGAGCGCTTACTGGATTCAGTATCAGCATCCAACTATGATAGGACACAAAAAGTCATCAAAGATCTCCATACCGACAATATAAGTTGGGAAGAGGGAGCACCAGGAACGGATTCAGAGAAGGGCGAAAACTTTAAGCGCCTAACTCGAGAGAAAGAAAAAAAGCAAAATTAGTCGGAAAACCTTTAAATTTTCTCAAAGTAGGGGCACAAGAGTACCTCACTAGCCGTATAAAGCAACTTAGATTAAAGTGGTCGACCATCTGGGTGGCTCTGACGCGTCCCTTTCTGCAGTGATCTGAATTATTTCAACGGTGCTACCAATCTAGTATGTCAAGGCCAAACTAGATGGTAATGATTGAAGTGCTTTCACACTCCGTTTTGGTTCATTGTCGATCGACCTAGGTTGTGAATGCGGTTAGAGACTAGTATATTATTGAAAAAAATTTTGTATCCTTTTTTGACCTTTGATTACTGGTTTTGCTAATGGTTACCCTATCCGACAAGCAAGTTAAAATAAGTGAAACGCACCGTGGGTTATCCAAGAAACTTCCGGTATCTAGGAGTAGCTCGTTAAATTCTTCACCACAATTCTAAAGAGACCTTGCAACTCTCTCGTTTCTATTCAAGGACGACATTTTAAAAAACGAAATTGTTAATCATTCTCAATCAAAAACTTAGCCTTTTACCGAATAATTAGTAACAAAAGTTTTGAAATTTCAAGTTTTTCAATTGAAAATTTTGATTTAGCTCAGTTCAGTTCAATTTTTTTCCTGCATTACTAAAGAGAATGAATAGAAGCTACAAGCAAAGTTTAAGTAAAATATTACAAAAAAAAATTAGCACGATTAAGTAACTGCTTTCATTTGATAGTGCTACTGTATCTGTTAAAACTCTCAATTGTAATAAAGTCGCCCAGTCTAGTGAGAAAAACATCGTGTTTTTTGTTCGCATTAGAAAGAACTTAAGAGTAAAAAATCAATTTCCCAAAAAACCAAAGAAAATTTTCTGATCAGGTTTTGGTATCGAGAAAAATTGGGGGCTACGGTTTTGCCATCTTAAAACCTCGCATCAAACTTTAAAGAATCAAATCAGCAAGTTAGCAGAAATGAATAAAGTTTTAGTTTTTTTAGTTTTACAAGTTTTTTAGAGGCGTTCGCCGGTATTCCAAAATCCAAAGAAAACTTCGGGTGTCGAAAAAAAACCGGTTGACTGGATCCAAATCCACAGTCAGTATACCTGAAAAGGCCTCGCCTTCGGCTAACTCGAACGTTTTGGCTAACTGGGTCGTTTCGGCCAACTGGGTTGCCACGGCCAACTGGGTCGTTTCGAACAGCTGGGTCGTTTCGGCCAACTGGGTCGTTGCGGCCAATTGGGTTGTTTTGTCGAATTGGGTCGTTTCGGCCATAAGTCGCTACGACCAACTGGGTCGTTTCGGCCAACGGGGTCGCTTCGACCAACTGGGTCGTTTCGGCCAACTGGGTCGTTTCGGCCAATTGAGTCGTTTCGGCCAAATGGTTCGATTATGCTGATTGGGTCGTTTCTGACAATTGGTTCGTTTTGGAAACTTTCGGCCAATTGGGACTTTTTGGGCAATTTTCGGCTAATTGGGTCAGGTTTGGACAATTTTCGGCTAATTGGACACTTTCGGCCAATTGGGACACTTTCGGGCAACTTCAAACAGATAAACATGAAACAAACATTAACTGAAAAAATAAGTTCAATTTTTTCCTGTTAACATGATATCAAAACGTTCTCAATAATCTCAAAAAGTTCAAGAAAAATTGTTGAAAAGTGACTGAGAAATTTCGGCTCATTTTGAAATTTCCCGAAAACTGAACTAAATTAATTTTAAAAAGTTATGCAATGTTTCGTTCGGTTGCTTTTTTCATCAATGAGAAATCAAAACGGAAGTATTTACGTTCGGTGTAGCTAGTTAACAAATCAGTCAACTAGAATCTGATCTCAGAGTTTCACTGAAACTAAATGAGTAAGTTCAAAGAAAAATTTTCATATGAAAAACAAAAATTAAAAAACATTTGAGCTTCCCCAGTTATTGTACTAAAAACGTTACTATTGATATCATTCATGATAAATTAGACGTTGACTATCACCTGTTCATAAATTTTTGACGTTTGCATCTTCAGCGCTTAAGTAATTTTACTTCTTGATCGTGAAACAGACTTGCTACAGATGGCGGATTCTTGATTAATTGTCGGCATTTTTCCGAAATGAAAATGCAGATTTGGAACCAGTTTATCGTACTAGTCCAAAAGCGACGTTCACTTTCACTTTTTTTTGACTTTTGCAATTTTTTTGACGTTTGCATTTTTTGCGTTTAATTAATTGATTTTAAGTGAATCATTCTCAATCAAAAAGTTAGCCTTATACCGAAGAATAAATCATAAAAGTTTTGAAAATATAAGTTTGTTTATAATTGAAAACTCTGATTTAGCTCAGTTCAGTTCATTTTTTTTTCGGGCAATTTTCGGCTGGTTGCACACTTTTGGCCAACTGGGTCACACTCGGGCAAGTTTCGGCTAATTGCACACTTTCGGCCAATTGGTCAGATTCGGACAAGTTTCGGCAAATTGGACACTTTCGGCCAATTGGGACACTTTCGGGCAACTTCAAACAGGTAAACATGAAATAAACTCTATCTGAAAAAATAAGTTCAACTTTTTCCGGTTAACATGATAACAAAACGTTCTCAACAACCTCAAAAATCTGTAAACGTTTTTGATGGCAAACTGACCTTAATCGGACAAACCAGTAATTTCAAGGGTTTTTGTCTAAGAAAATTTAATTTTAGCGTCGTAACTTTCGCGCCATTGATGACGTTATTAATTTAAGCGCAAACCTGTGGTAAGCTTTGTTTCAGGTTTTTTTAGTGATATCTCTTTTTTGCTTAAACTTTTTCTCTGAATAAAATTTGCAAAATTGATTATGATAATTTTAAACTAATATCTTAACGAACGTAAGTAATCTTGAAGAATCTTCAAAAAATTTTGAAGAATCTTGTAGATCTTTCCAAGAATTGAAGAAAATTTCAAATTTGCTTGGTGGGCTGCAGACCCATCATACAGGAATCTGGGGATGTGTTCATGATTTTTGGACGGTTAAAAGTCTTATAAAGTTTTTCAAAGGTTGTTTGCTATCTTTGATAAAGCTTCGAGATTCTTCATGACTTTGGCAAGATTTTCAAATTGACTAGATTCCCGATTGGTTGAAAATGCGAACCAAGTTTTCATCCTACCCTTCTAAACTGCTTTTGGGAGGTGGGAGTAGGATGTTAACCTGGCCCGTTTTTTTATATAAACCATTTATTTGGGTTATTTGAATAGTGTCAGGCTCAATTATCACCTTTTGTGCGACGTTAAAATGATAATAATTGTAAAAGTATAGACGCTAAAGGAGAGATTTCTTTCCAAAACCTCCCATAATTTTTGCTATAATTTAAACGTTCGACGTTTTAATTGATTATTGATTGAAAGAGCTCTAATATACCATGTGCTCAAACGCTCCATTGGCTTTTATTACACAAAATTGCGCATATTAGAACATTGTAACCTATATAGCTATTATTTTTCCATTTAGATAAATTGTCGTTTTTGTTTATATAGTTCAAATGGCGCTTTCGCTGAAACAGAAGAAAAATATGCTAAAACTGGGAATCGTGATTAGTGTATTTTTCATCATTACAGGTTTTACCATTATGAAGTTTCTTGCTACTTATGTTGTCCCGGCTTACGTAGAGCTGACTTCTATTAAGTCAGCCCTTTTTGTACATTACAACGCTGAGAATATAATGAAACATGTCGTTGGTGAGTTAATATATAGAACATCAAAATTATTTTTACCTTTTCTGAAAAAAAAAAATTGATTTTTTAAAAAAATTATGCTAATGGTAGTGCAAAAATAGGACAAAACTCCGGACATTATTTTTTTTTAATGAGATTATCAGAATTTTTGCCCTTACATTTTGCCTCATGGAGAAATTTTGATAAAAAATTCATTAGAGGAAATTTTTTCCGCTACCTTTAGCCCGACTCGAGCTCGAACTAAGGAGCATGGGACTAAAACGTACTTTCAATCAATTTACATGTCTGTTGATTCTAGTACAGATTTTTCTATCAAGCATCACGCATTTTAGATCAATTGGCCAATAACTCGATCAGCGAATATGAGCTCACATCCAAAACGAGGCCAACAAACTCCAACAAATCTAAGGAACTTTCAGGAAATTTTAACAATTTCAGCGGCTTTGAGAACTTGTCACCAGAAATACGAGATGCAATCCTTACCTACCCTGCAATTAATACTTTGGAGCAAGACCTGGACAATTCGTTACCGTGGATAGTGTTTTCTATATTTTGTTGCAGTTTCGGACTTACGCTACTCAAGGTGAGGGTCTTTTTACTAAAACGGCCCAATTTTCCATTTCTGAAAACTAGAATTCAGAAATGAAAGTGCTCGCACGTGATTGGTTGATCAAGTAATATGCTAACTCATTGCTCGAATCAACTAAATATAGAAAAAAAGAGATGCGAAAAAATGTACAATTTTGAGATAGGGAGGGGGGAGTGTTCTTCTCATAGACTCAATAATGCTGGCCGTTTGAGTAAAAAGACCCCTCCAGGTAATCTGGGGAGTGTATGTGTGCTATATCAAACCAGATGTGGAGAAAAATAACAAAGAGCTAGAGATGGAGACAACGATGACCAGAATCTTAGAACGCCAGAAGGAAAAACTCCAGATGAAAGCGGAAATCATAGAGATTGATTCAAAAGTGTAAACTAAGCAGCTGTAGCTGATGTAAATTTTCACCCAAAAAAGAAGAGAAAACTTGGAAAAACATTTATGGTACAGAAAGACAGATTTTTTTAAAAAGCAATTGGAAGGTTTATTCGTTTTTTTTTAACATCATTTTGGGATCTTGTCAACTATTTTCCACTATTGTTATCTTGTAAATAATTGCCAACCATATAAAGACCTAATTCAACAGTTGAGCATATTTGAATTTTGTATGTTGTTACCAAGTTAGACTTTTTGTAATAGGGGAAGAATTAGAAAACAAGATCTGCCTTTTGATTTGACATTAATCTTTTCTAAAAATATTTAATAAACTTCATGTAAATTTTCGAGATATATTCTTACTTAGATTGAAAACTAGTTGAACTTTGAGGATCTTTGCGGTTTTTTGAGGCATCGCAACTGTACAGCTGTAAAGTAGTTTTTGTTCCAACTTTCGAAGAAAGTACCGGAATATCTATTTTGAATTCTCGCAATCGTCTTGGTAAACTTCTTCGAATTTGAAAATTGTCAATTTTACCTTGGTCTAATTTACTTTTTTCTCATTAAAAATTTCAAAAAAACATCCTTTTTTTGCCATAAAAACATTATTTGTTTTAGTTAGCAGTTCTCATCTGAAAGCCCTGAATTTTAAAAAATTGATCTTAATATCACAATTGAACAACTTTCCCCAAAATTAACCCTCCTCCACTGCTAAACAAAGTCAAAAATTTTGCTCGGGGTTTGAAAAACAAATTAGTAAAAAGTTGTTCAAGAGAAAAATAGAAAAAAAGAAACAGTTTTGTAACCAATGTGGATGTCACTTTAAATAATTCAACGTCTATTTTTCGAAATTGTGATTTTACTGAAATGCTTTCGACTGTTTCTGAATAATTTAAGGATATCTGTGAAATGGTAAGAAGAAGAGAAGGACGCTCAAATAAGATCGAAGTCAAATTTGCGGAGGCAAGTTATGCAAATTCAGGGTTTTCAGATGAGAACTGCTACTTATAACAAACAAAAAATTTACCCATTAAACAGCTTTGGAGGAAGAGACTGGGGGAGATGTTATCTTTATTCAAAAACAATCAGAGCTTACAAACAATATTTTTTCAAATTACGAACACTCAGATGCGCAACAGTTTTTTGCATAACTTGCCTCCGCAAATTAGACTTCAACCTTATTTGAGCGTCCTTCTCTTCTTTTTCACCATTTCACAGATATCCTTAAATTATTCAGAAACAGTCGAAAGCGTTTCACTAAAATCACAACTTCGAAAAATAGACGTTGAATTATTTAAAGTCACGTCTACATTTATTCCAAAACTGGTTCTATTTTTAACCGGCAATTATCTTTTTTCTCTGGTACAACTTTCAACAAAAATATTTTTTTAACGCCGAGCAAAATTTTTGACTTTAGTGAGCAGTGGAAGAGGGTTAAGTTCGGGGAAAATTGGTAAATAAAAGATTGCATAAAAACGCAATTTAAAACGCAGAAAACAATCAAAATGTTTAAAAATTTTGCAATAAAACTGTACAGGTTGTGATTTATTCTAATCCTCTATAATGTTTTTCAATGGTTTAGAATTGATTAAACTTTTTTCTGAGAAATTAATGGGTACTAAGGGATTATATTCAAACATGTGGTATCAAAGTGTAAATATAATCAAACTGTAATTTAATGGCAAAAGTTTCGACAACAAAAATTCATTATAAAAGATTTTTACAAGGGAACCGCAGTGCAGTTTTGTATGCGTGAAAAAAAGTTCTTTTTTTTCGGCGGCACTGAGGCTTCGTTTTAATTTTGAGTCATACGGTTTTGTTAGCAGAGATAGCGATTTATGATCATTCAATTTTCACTTTTTTTAAGTGAATTCTGTTTGATGGATACTTAATACCTTTTTCCATTATCTTTGATGTCAGAAGCACAAAATATTCACAAAATAAAAAAAACAGTATTCACTAATTTTACACGCAGAAGCAAAACTCAGCTTCGCACCACCTAAGCAAAACATAAAACACAGAAACGAAGCGGAGTTTCGTAAAATTTGCGATGCAAAAAACACATTGCGCTACAAAATAGTGAACAAAAAACAGACAAGTAAAAAAGGTTCTAAAACTTTTTTAATAGAAAAAATTACTTGAAAAAATAACTTGACAAAAATTGATATATAACAGCTACAAAAATTTCAAATTTGTATCAGACGAAATTCAGAAACAGCCCTAAAAACCATTTACCGAGCGGCATCAAAGGCGACGAAATTTGGGTCGAAACCTGTTGAGCCAAAAACAAAACAGTTGTCATAAAAAATCGTTAAATTTAAAATTTCTTACGGTCCATCCAAACTCAAACACATAATCCCAAATGGACAAACTTTGTAGTCAAAATTATGCGAAATGATTTGACCAAGATAATATAAAACTAATTGAAACTGTTTGAAATGTGGAAAAATTTCAAAATCAGACCTCATAAATTAAAAACTTTGTGAATTTCAGTTATAATGAAAACTGTTTAACTTGGATTAAAACCAATACTAATTTTTTCCATACTTTCTCCATATTTTTTTCCATACAAATCATTTGCACATTGACTTTCACTCTGATTGCTACACTGAACTTTTTCTCCATTTTCCCCATGAGTATTTAACCAATTTGTTAATTTATCAGTCTAAAAACATTTCAAAAAAAGGCGTAACAAACAATTTACCTCGCACACACGCATCATTAATTGTGTGGTACCAAAATGTAATTACGAGCGGTTTTTTTTGGTAAAAATTTTAAACACACAAACTGATTAAAATCGATGTTTATCAATGGAACCTCAG